ATGAAGACGATTTGTGAGACTGGTGAACTTATGATACGTACGATGGTCTTTCGTTCTACACGGTGCATTTCAAGGTCCTGTACCCATCGGTCGGTAAACTGTACCTGGGCTTGTTGCAGTGACCTGAAGTCACTAAAAACTTCACGAGTGTATGCACTCACTCCAAGAAGCTATAATTATAAATATGAGCGTGGTGAAAGTTGGGCAGAGGGGAAAATGCCCAATGCTCCAACATGCACAAACATCTGATCACACAGGATGAAATTCATTTTGCATGAGCAGATGAGATGATTTCTTGACTTGATGGAGGAAAGAGCCAAGGAGGAAGAAAACCCCACCTTAGCCAACTACATAACTACCCGAAGATGTCAGTGAAGCTGATGTTGTCCTCTTACACGTTGGCGACAGACATTAACTGTGCTTTGGTGAATTTGGCTTTCAGGCCACGGTACACTCTTTAGGTTTCAGATAGTTTGTTTGACCAGCTGTTTTGTCAGATTAGATGTGTGGCTAGCTTTGTACTACAAATGTTCCAGAAAGGTGTGTGTGTGCGCGTGGGGGGGGTTAAAAATGTCTTCAACATTGAGTGATATTGGTCTTGCGCTTGTTTTTCCTCAAACCCAGATATGCTCTGGTAGGGCTGGGCGATATGGCCTAAAATCTATATCGCGATATAATTTGAAGCACGTGCGGTAACGATATATATCGCGATATATTATTTTCTTCTGTATAACGTATTTTCCACACTATAAAGGCACACTTAAAATCCTTTAATTTTCTCAAAAATCGAGAGTGTGCCTTATGTATGAATTCTGGTCCCAGGTCCCAAAGTCAAACGAACACTGAGAGTTAAAAACGGTCTAAATTCTTTCATCTTTAATTAAATCATCAGCGTTGCTGCTTTACCAGGTGTAACAATTAAGTTTAACATCCAGGCATCCATGAAAACAGAATTTATTAATTTAGATCTCTATCGTTGGCCAAATTTATATCGTTTCTATCGTATATCGTTTATATCGCCCACCCCTATGCTCTGGTACTGAAATTTGGTACAGATTGAGTTCGTGTGAACCGATACTCAGTTGGTCCGACAGTGTAATTTTGACAGAAAATTTAGATTTAGTTTAGTCATAATTTAGGATTCTAAATTCTTTGTTTTAGTTCACTAAATATCATAAGATTATCGTAGACTAAATCTAAAGTTAATTCAGTTGACTGAAATATATCCTGTTTTCAACCAGTGAAACTTACTCCACATGTTCACTCATTTAACTCGTCCCGCCTCTCTACACAACTTAATTGTGATTCTGATTGGCTCTCATCTCTCCAGATCATTTTCATCT